CAATATTTTTGATTTACTGTCCTATAGTATACATTGGAATGATTTCAAACCTGTTTTTATTTATCCTAATAATTATAAAGGTGTGCCTCTTTACTTAATTATGTCCTCCACCAGGGGGTGCTGCAGCACCCTCAGCACCCCTACTTCCCACGGCCCTGCTTGGAACAGTCTACAGGCAAAATTGAAATTGAGCATTTTTATTTCTCTGAATGTATTTAAGGCACGTCTCAATGAAATGCTTTCTGACACTCTGTGTATTTGTAAATGTTGAATAATGTAAATATGATATCCTCTGTTGTTTGCTTGTATGTTGTTTTTATGTTTCATGTGGAACTAAATTATGCAGGTCTCCCTTGTAAATGAGATCGATGATCTCAAGGGACCAATCTGTCTAAATAAAGGTTTGAAATGAAATGAAATGAATGATCCACTTACCTGTTTGCATCAACTGCAGGAGGTATTCAATTATGAATTAACATTACCTCAGCACTGCATAAGTGTGGTCGTCAGTCATATTGACAAAGAAGCAGTGTAGTGCCGGTAAGAAGGAGTTGGAGGCGGAGTATTTAAAAGGGATTTCCACTCTTTATTTTCCATCAAGCAATAGTAGTATCAGACATGTACTCAGTGAGGAGAGTCAAGTTAGAGTGCATTGCTAGCTCTAGCTTGGAAACCTATATCTCCGGTGTTACGCTAAACCAGGTCTGTGTAGGAACTGTGACCCAAAAGTGAATTATGGTTAACTAGAGTCACCACACTGCATTGTATTTAATCAATCAATAGGCTTGCTGATGCTTTTACAGCACTTCCTCTATTGGCACTTATATTTAATAGCTTTATTCTTTTTTGCTTTCATTTGCTGCACCATATCAATATCAATATTTTCTTACTGAACACGTCATTTCTCCCTCCTCTGTGATGCAGGCAGTTTTGGTGGCGGCGCTGTGCTGGCGGTGCAGGGTTCAGGCTTTGACCCGGATGTCTCCACGGTGACGATCTGCGGGGAGGCGTGTGACGTCCACAGAGACATGTCCACATCGTCCCGCCTCTACTGCATGTCCCCATCCATCAAGAGTGAGTTGAGCTGAATGTATTTCACCTGGATTATCCACAGAGGTTCAAAGACAACACAGAGATACACATCGTTTTTTCTAATTTATTTATTGTAGCCTACTACCGGTATTATTACGGGAAGCACAATATCCAGTATCTTACATTCTTGCACATCCGGAAAAAACTGTTGTATTCTACTTATTCTAATCCACAGTTTTAGTAAAGGTTAAGGGCTTTACCAAGAATCTGTCCACGCTAATGATCATTTTAGTTAGTTTCATTATGTCAAAGCAGTCTTTAACCTGTCAAAGGTGATCTCTAAACGCTCTAATGGAGACAGACTGAGGAATGCCCACAGCCTTTCATGGCAGGAGAACATGACATGTCAAATGTCACAATAACTTGTTAAGGAAGATGAGACATATGTTATCTCTGAGCATGCATCTGGATTCCCGCTGTCCTTTTGTTGTTGTTGAACTGTGTGTTTGACACGCTGTCTGCTCTCAGATAATCAGTCGGAGGTGGCGTGCGTGGTGGCTGTCGTCAACCAGCTGGATGATGTCGACATAGTAAATGGCTACACGTATAAATCTCAGCTGACTCCGGTGATCTCTGAGGTTTCTCCACGCAGAGGAGGCACCGCTGGAGGCACCCGGCTCACCATCAGCGGCTCCGGCTTCAGGTGAACAGAGGGCCACACCCAGATACGCTCCTCTGGTTCAGAACAAAGCACTCGACTTACACAACATCTCTTTTACATGGAACCAAGTCTGTGCTTTCATCGGTTTATCACCTGACTTGAATGTCTGACTTTTGACACGTAAAACATTATATTTTAATTTTTAGTAGCATTTTCACATAAATACATTATGCAAAATACCAATAATAAAGATTTACTGTACAGTTAATTATATATAAACACCTTATTATAAATAGTAGACAACCGTATATATATATTATTATATGTTTATATTTTAAATAAGATTTCATATGTATTTCTAAAGGTTTCTTTATTAAGATACAACAAATGATACAATAACATAGCATTATTAAACATAGCATACCTCAATACTCTCATATACCTTAACATCATATGAATATAATAAAAATGAGTTTATTAACAGTTTGTTATAGATATGTATTATTTGAAAGCAATGTAAATGTATAATACAGTTTATTTGATGTCTTCTCTTCTATTCTATATAATTAGAATATATAAGATTAATATTATTTATCTAATTAATATAATGCAATATAGTATAATTTACTCAACTCAAACAAGATAATATCAGTTATACTATTTTATATTATAATATATTAATGTATACTATCTTTTTGTAGTATGATATGGTATGTTAAAGTAAGATAATATTTGTATTTTAATATATAGCTGATATTATTCTTGAATATCATGTTACTGTATTTTATAATCATTTATAAAAATGATACAAAAATGAAATGTACAGGATTTATCTGATTTATTACATTATAATAAAGAGGTTTATTATGTGTAAGTAAGTAGATTAATTGTAACGTGTACCTTATATATTGTACTATATTTATTTAATTCTATACATAAAGTCAATAATATTTGTATGTCACAATACAATGTCAAATATAAGCTTTATATTTTAATAATTGATCATCACCTTACAGCGCCGACATGGGTGATGTGAACGTGACCATCGCAGGCTCTGTGTGTGACGTTCAGTCCGCCAACAACACACACATCATCTGTGTGACCAACTCTCAGCAGCGCTCTCAGGAAGCCAAGGTCCGAGTCAGCATCACAGACCGAGGCATCGCCCAGATGGTGAGGGACCAACCCCTGAGATAAATCACAACACAGTGTTTTACATAATGACACTGATTTCAGATCTTTTTTTGTACATGTTTGTGTTAATCCAGTACTTGTCTCTTTCTTCAGGATAATGCAGATTTCTTCTACATTGACGTGTGGTCGTCCAGGTTCACTTGGGGCGGTCTGTCTCCCCCTGAGAGGGGCTC